TTTGGTATGTCTCGGTGACCTCATTCACTTGGCACGACGCAATCACACCTCCAGGGCCTCCCGCACCGAGCAGCGGAAGCGCCAGCAGTGCTGCACCATCAGCTGCGGCCGTGGCACGGTCCAGTGCGCCACACTCGCCGACACGGAAGAACCGTTTGTGGGAGCTGATGGCCACTTGGATCAGGTGTTTTTTCGTTGTGTTCTAAGTATTTGCGGCATTTGTTTCTAACCCGAACGTTGCGATGTTTTAACACTTTTGTTTTTTGTAAATGCAAAAACGTTCGTTTGCAAGTAGATGGTGATGTGTTGCACGTGTGTTGGACGTGTTTGTCCGCGCTACTCACATGCCTGTATAGGATGTCCTTCTGGTTATTTTTGGACATACCGTCTTTCGGTTCAAACCACTGCGCTTCCCTGCTTCAATGTTTGGTATTGTCGTCCGTTGCTTCAGTCGTGGTTCCTCCTCCTGCTTCTCGTCGACACGGTCATTGCATAATTATGGTGGAGTGCCACTACACAAAGGCTCCCATCACTCCAGTTGTGGCCACAGGTGTATGCGACTAGATCAGCTAGATATGGCAATTTGCAGCTAGTATTTCGGTGTGTCTCCCAACCCACCTCCTTGACGTTCTTGAATTGCACGTGGTATCACTGCATTGCCTTCATATTTGCACGTGGTATGTATGTATTTTTGAGTTGTTGATGAGTCACTCGAACAAGGGTGTCGGCTCCAGGGCCGCCGTGCAATGTGTGTCACTTCTGTCGAACCCACAGCCGTGCTGAAACACTGTCAGGTTCAAAGTTCAAATGATTGAAGTGCCTGACTGTGTTGTTGGAAACATTTGTAGTTGCCAGTGCTTCTGCCTGCGTCCGCAGTGCGCAGGCAGGCTCAAGATGTTTATTCTTTAAACGTTCCAGCTGTCTTGGTATCATTCATGTACTGTAAACACATGTTTCTGACTGCGTAGCACTTGTTTTTATCTTGTTTTGAAATTGCTTCGACATGTTCGATACATGAACTCGAAGCAAGAGGTTCCAAAGTCGGTCACTGCAGAATGTCTTATTCTTCACCTTCAAGGGACGATTTCAGAAGTCCCAAACACGCCAATCTCGGTGCGAGATTTCTTCAACACCACACAACCGACACAAAAACCAAACACAGACCTGTTTCAAAATCCTCATCCTAAAAGCCAAGAAAGAGTGGTTTCATGATTTCATGCTTGTCCAGGTCCAGCATGTTCCGAACGCGCGACCCCATGGCGCCGTGCATCGCATCACACCATTGACACGTTGAGCATGTCATTCTCCCAAGGTGCATCATATTCACATCCACTCAAACCACAAAAAGTGATGACAGTTGCGCGGCGGGCTGCACTGCTCTTTTCATGCTGAATGTGCAGGTTGTCTTCTAAGCCGGTTGAGACTAGGAAGAGCTTGTGGAGGAGATAGGACATCAAGGTAATAGACAGAGACAATCATAAGATGTAATTAAAACCTATTGGAGCAATAGAAAAGCCTGTTGAGATCAGGGCGAAGTTCTGAGGGGAGCGTGTTGAAGCTCAAGTCTGCATATCTGATATCAATCACTCAAAGTGAGCACTTGGTGATGAGAGGCGGCAACCTTTCAAAATTCAAATCCAAACAGCTTTGACCGATAATGAGAACAAATCAATGCGGATGGCCAGGCAATAAGTGATGTCGGACAGAGGAAGATCAAGCTGATAATTTTTGTCATTGAATTGATATTGCAAATTGATAGTGGATAGTGGACAGCCTAAGACCTAAGATTGAGCTGTCAATTGTTGTCATTCGACATTGCACGTGGAGATTGGGCACGGGAAGATCGAACGATTTTGCATTTTGCAGTTTTTGAAAATTTGAATGTTGTTTACAGGTTTCGCCAAACAGTTTACTGTTGGGGTTCTCTCTTAGGAGAAAAGAAGCTGCCCACAATCTCTGGCCGCGCCGGTGAACACTGTGTACGGCCGTTCTCCTTCTGTCCTCTTCTTGTCCTCCTGTTGTCCCCTTGTTGTCCTTCTGCTGCTGTCTAGATGACAGCACGGCCGCATGAAGACATGACACTACCAAGCGCAATCAAAGGGTCCAAGGCGAGAAAACAATTTCCCACGTGCACACGCCTTGTGTGGCACCTAGTGGGAAAGTGCCAGCCGGCAAGCGGGAAGACCGCAGTGCCGCAGCGTGGCCACGTCGCAGCCTGTCTGTAAACATGACAACATGCCAGTGGACACTACAAAACGGTGAGGGACTAGCAAGACAACTCCAGAAAACAACCCCAGAAGCCGATGTCCTCTCCTTGTCCTCCTGTTGTCCTCTTTTTGCAGGGTTCTCTCGTAGGAAAACAGTTGTCCTTTTGGCGCTTTCCGGTCACAGCTTGTCCTTCTTTTGTCCTTTAGCTCTTGGTGTGTTCGTGTTGTTTTCCTTTCCTCATCCTTTGTCCTCTGCTGTCCTCCTCATGTCCTGCTCTGGTCCTTCTGTTGTCCTGTCGCTGTTGTGCTGTTTACGTTGCTTCCCAAGGAGGGGCTGGGGCTGGCCAACAACAATTCTTGCCGACTAAGCTGTTATGGGGTCTATGCTCTATCCCAAGCACACCCGCTCTCTTTATCAATCACTTTCAGCTCTCAGAGCCAAGCCAAAAGCCACCGCGCCTTTGTAACAACTACCGAGTTTGGTTTGTTTAGAGAGCATCCGAGCGTTGATGGCAAAATGTTGAAAATAGTTATTCGCCATGTCTTCAAGTGAGAGCATGCCAGAAAGCTTGGTCAACAGTACCTACGTTTTCATGCCAACATCTCATCGTTTCACTGTTCTTGGGGGGTTGTCGTTTGATGGCTTGACATGGGCTAGCAGTTTCAAAAGGACATCCCCAAAGATTGACCAGAAACCTGAAACCCTAATTTTCCAAGATTAACCACATGCTTTTCATTGCTGACACATCGCGGCATGTTTTCCTCCACAATGCTTTTCTTCATGAAACCTCAAACCAAAACTTCCTATCAAACCTCCAAAAGGGTCTATCCGTGCCATCCAAGGCCCGTGGCCGCGAGGACCGTTCCGCTGGGCTGCCCTGCTTGCAGGGTGGCTCTGCCTGGGCGTGCCTGGTGGGCGAGGGCCCTGAGACTCGTGCCTCACCTGGTACCCTGGAAGCACCGAAAAGCGCGGGAGGTGCAGTTTTGCACGACTGTTTTCGATATCTTTTGATTCTAGATACTTAGTGCTCCTAGATAGAGGAGAAGAAGACCCCAGTGCGAATCTCTGCAGATCAAGGGACTTCCCGACTAAGTAAAGAGCCGGTGATTTGAGGGAGAAGGGTGAGAAGGGTTGTGTTGGGGGGGGAAACATGACCAAACCGGTTGCTCGAGGTTGCGGCCACTTGGCTTCTGTGGTGATTTGGTGAGTGACCTAGCCATTGATGGAGTGTCAGTCTCAAAATGATTATTGGCTGAGAATTTCACCCCTGTCTCTGATAAAGCCAGTTTCCATTGAAACTGCACCAGAAATGCCTAGTACATACCTTTGACACTAGAGTAAGAGTAGATGGTAATCTCGTTTTGGTTCATGTTTAGTTCAAAGGTGTTTAAAGTTTAAACTTCATCAAATCCCAAACATTGGAGTGTGTGCCACATTCCCACTGGCCACTCTGGGCTTCTCGTTCGCACTACCTTGCGTCATCCGAGGTGGTGAGGAGGGCGAGGTTGCAAATGGGAAAGATCGAACTGAGACTGGGAGCGAAGGTCGTACCACATGGGATCGTCAACGTGTCTAGCGTGTTGGGTGATTCTTGGGATTAGGGAGACAGGCGACTACCATGTGTTCTTCTGATGGGTCATCTCAAACGACATGCTTGAGCCTTCATGGTTTTCTCAAAAAGACCTGTCCCTCAAATGGAAGTGGTCATTGGCTCATATGGGGCTGGGTCAAAACTTGGAGGGCTGGTCCGGAGCTTGACCTCCCAGGCAGGCCAACCAAGGTCTGGCTTTGACCCAGAGCCTCCCTCCAACAGGTGCGCCACAGGCATCGTGTCAAACAGGCACCATCAGGCACCCACGCCCTTAGGGCGCCTGTTCCTTATGGCCTTAGGTTCTGTAGGATGGGATCTGGGGAAAACATGTTGTCTCAAGTGCTTTCTATTGGGATTGAAGATGAGGACACTCGTGGGTTGTGTTCAATATGAGAAGTGTGGCATATCTGTGTTTTCAAGATGAGAAGTGTAGCATTTCTGAACAGTTCTCAAATATACATGGTGTTTGGTGTTCACATGTGTTCACCAATCAATGTCGCCCATGGTGTCCGAGGACTGCGAGGCAATGTCGGCCATGTCAGAGTGTAGCACCGCGGACACGATCCCTCCATGGCCACCGTCCAATCCATCGGATGTTGCTGGGCCACCCTTTACGACCCACGTTCACACCGAAGTGAGTGACGAGGTGGTTATTTTCCCCTGTTTTTCCAGCCAAAACACTGTATACGTAATATACACCCCAAAAAATATATATGGAATTTTATATACTGTAGATAGATATGTAATATTATTGTATAGTGACGTGTCTCATTCAGCCCTGCATTGCATGTTCCAACATCATCATTTCAGCAATTGAGGTTATTATAGCTGAACGCATTGCCGCAGTGCTGATGGAACGGGGAAAAAGGTGACGCATTGACGCATTGCGCGTGTTCAGGAGTACAAAACACTCAGATGCTGGACTCATCGTCCCAGCTATAAGGTTTCCCTAACGCCCCGAACGGTCCGGCGAGCTGGTTGGATCTGGGACTTTGGACTCACCCAGGCTGTTGGCATATGGATGCTGATAGCGTGTCTCAACCCACGCTTGCATCATCATGCCTGGTTTGACTTTACTGGTGCCATGGAGAATGACGCAGGCATTGTCTGGGGTTCAGAAGCAAACGTACAACTTGTGTTGCCCCCTCAGCAAACATATGACTCGCTCAGAGAAACTCCACGAAAAACCTCGATGCCCGAGGTTTGCCGGACCTTTGGATCAAATGTTTCAGCATTTGCGAGAAGTGCGCCGAACAACAGTCTGGTGTGGCCCCGGAGGTCAGATGAAACAGCGAGTGATGTCAACTTCAAGTGACTTGTGGACCGCACACACGCTAGCATGTCACATTGTACTTCCAACTCTGATAGGAAATAGTCACGGGCCCATCATCGCGACATACTTTGGCAAGCAGTGCCGCAGGTTAAAGGACATCACCGCATCCTTGAATTGGATTCCTCGGGGGGATGTTAAAGGATGTTCAAGGTCTTTGTTGAGGACCGCTTGGGGATTTGCTTCAACGATCTCATCCAGCCACGACGCCTCACGATGCCTCACACCGCCGCGATTCGTTTGAGTAGGTCTCAGCTGACCCGGAGGTCTCAGCAATCCACTTTTTTCTTCTCACAGACCAGGGGCTGCGGCGCTCGGTGCACCGGCTCCATCAAAATTTCAATGTTTCGCCCTCGCAAGAGTTCTCCCACGCTCTGCTGTGTGTAATCGATGGACGCTCGGAGTCCAGTCATCTCCTCGATTCTTCCAAGAAAGCCCTGGTTGGCCGCCAGGTTGGCGCAGAGCCGGATCAGAGCCGGATTTCAGCAGTCCATTCAAAACCAACGGTTGCGCGTTCACAGCAAACAGGGTATCCGCTCTTTGGTCGTTTGTTCGCCATCAACCGTCATCATCCACAAATATGTGCAATCACAGTGAATCGGTTGACCCCATGTCTCAAGGTGTTGTAGTTTTGACCGGAATCATGCCAGAAGGTCTGTTAGGACTGCACACAGCCCTATGCTGCACCTATGACATCCACAAACACCTTAAACAAAAGCAAGGTAACACGACCCCGAATGACTCGCGTAGTCGTGGGTGTGGCACTTATGTCATCGTGAATCAATTCATGGTAATTCTCAGTGTTTTTTAGATGCATATCCTTTGTCTCAGTTCATGTTTCCGCATATTTCCACTCTATTTTGAACCTGTATATGCATTTACTTTGGGATTCACAAGCGCACCATTCCCTCCAACCCCCCAAAAGTTGCATCATCAGTTTTCACGTTGAACGCACAGTGTTTGCGTCAGCAAGACCATCCGGCATGGCTGACGTCACTGACAAATCGCGAAAACGTAAGAGACCGACTCAACACAAACAAAGAGGCTGTGACATGCTGTGACCCTTGGTGGTATGTACATTGTTTTATAAATTCGTCACACACGGACAGCCAACACACTCACAAAAATTACCCATACTCCTCCAGACAATAGAAATCTAACACCCACCGGTCAGGGTCTTACTAATGTCCAGCGCAACTGTCCAAGTAAAAAATGTCCACCAGAAAAAAAGTTCAACAACGGGGACGGAAAGAACAAAGACGAGTCACGACGAGTCAACCGAAGAGGAATCACAACGCACAGAGACACACACAACAACGAAGGGATAACGAACGCATTGAGCTTCAAAACCTGTGGTCAATGTACCGTGGCCCTCGAACTCAACAAGTCTCAACGTAGTTGGCCCCACCCCCCGTGCCCCCCGTCCCTTCCACAGCACGTCGAAACCACGACTGAAACGGAACATATGTTAGAACTGGCGGAACACGAACGCCTGCGCGAGTCACGAGAGGTCGTGACACCAAAAACAACATAGACTCATAGACCTTAAACTAAGTCACACCGGGATGCTGGACTTCTACCTCTCCTTTCACTTCGCGAGGTACGGCCCCTTGGTCAAGCTCCGGATCTTCGATGACGTGGTCTATGTCACTCGTTGTGTGGCGGGTTAAGAGGCCACAGGCGACTGATGTGACTGATAATCCTTCCGAGATTTTCGGGCTGCCCAAGGGCTGTGGCCCGTGGCCGAACACGGAGAGCTCCCCAGACGAATCTTTAGCATAGAAAGGGACATTGAAATGGATGAAACCCTTTGAGATCAACCCAATTAGCAGCTGGACTGGGACTATAAAAAGTGGAAGACAGAAGTGTGTTTGGGTTTCCTCATGGCGCAGAAGACCCACGGTTATACTTAAACGACCCCTCACCGACCTGGCAAACGACCAAGGAAAGCAGCCAGACTGACGTGACATGATGTAGCTGATCTGACACAAACACTTCAGATCCAGTTCACATCACATGCAATGACGTGCAATGGATGTGCGGGATGATCGGCTCTTTGTGATGGTTTTAGTCAGGACCCTCACATAACATCACAAGATTGACCTGGACCTTAATCATTAATTAATACTAAATGGGCTTCTTCATGCTTCTTCCACAGAAACCACCTCTTGCGCTTTCTCCCCGCCGCCACCTGTTCCTCGTCCTCGGCCCCGCGTCCCGAGGTCTGTGCGGACCCCGAATCCTTCGAAGCGGTGACCCAGATCCCGGACAAGCGACTTCCCAAGGAGGTCGGCCCGAAGATGGGAGGTTCGGTACGACGGGGTACTGAATTGTTTGGGTAGGGTTCAGTGGATGGTATTGTTTCCGAGTTAGTTCCATTTGGAGGGTTGTGATGTATTGTTTCTGGCCTTAGAAGTCGGCTTCAAAGAATTGAACTTTCCAGGAAGCCATGCACGCTCGGATCGTGTTGCCCAGGCCTCATACTCCTCTTGCACTCCAGGTCTTTGGCTGCAAAGCCCTGGCGAACCAAGGGGTGTTCATCGCTGATGGACAGCGTTGGGAGCGCCTTTGACATGAAGGATCTGTGCGAGTTGGGTGTTAAACGGGTGAGTTTGAACTCGCACTCGGTGAGTCCTGTACTTAAAGTGTGCCGAGCAAAACCCCAATGACCCCAATGGGATGGTCTGAAAAGGATTCGACTCGTTTAATTACTGCAGTACAAGCCCCGCTGATTCCCCGTTTATCGCATTTGAATTCGACTTGTCACACTATTCGTTTCGTGACAGTTCGCTGCCATGACTCTGGGCAAATTAAGGCGAGCTCAACTGACGAGGTACGAGGTAGAGTAATTTCAAAACGAAAATAAGCGAGGTAAGTCCAGCAACAGCAGCAGCACAGAGGGTTTGAGCTTGTAAGGGCCACTGCTGGGCGTAGCTTCCAGGAGCTACAGGGACTCCACTCACCATGCCACACAGAAGCCCCAAGAATACCAAAAACAAAAACAACCTATTTTTAAGAAATAGGCCCGATTTTTGTCCCAAGCATGCTTGAAGGGATTGGGCCTTGTAGAGGCCACTGCTGGGTGTAGTTTCCAGGAGCTACAGGGGATCCACTCACCATGCCACACAGAAGCTCCAAGAATACCAAAAACCAAAAAACGATCTATTTTTAAGAAATAGGCCCGATTTTTGTCTCAAGCATGCTTGAAGGGATTGGGGCTTGTAGAGGCCACTGCTGGGTGTAGTTTCCAGGAGCTACAGGGGGTCCACTCACCATGCCACACAGAAGCCCCCCAAAATACCAAAAACCAAAAAACAACCTATTTTTAAGAAATAGGCCTGATTTTATTTTCGGTGTTTGAAGTTGAAGGGAACCGGCAAGGGAAAGAGCCAACCGAATACTACCACAGGGGGAGTTGAACAGATAACGTTTCGATTGCGAAGTGTAGTTATTCGACCGGGCTAAACTGACACTTCTCATGAGGACAATGCCCAAACCACGCAGACAGAAGACCATGCAGAGAAGCCCCAAGAAGACCAAAGACAAAAAAACAACCCACTTTTAAGAAATAGGCACGATTTTTGTCCCAAGCATGCTTGAAGGGATTGGGGCTTGTAGAGGCCACTGCTGGGTGTAGCTTCCGGGAGCTGCAGGGGATCCACGCACCACGCCACGCAGAAGCCCCAAAAACACCAAAAACCAAAAAACGATCTATTTTTAAGAAATAGGCCCGATTTTTGTCCCAAGCATGCTTGAAGGGATTGGGCCTTGTAGAGGCCACTGCTGGGTGTAGTTTCCAGGAGCTACAGGGGATCCACTCACCATGGCACACAGAAGCTCCAAGAATACCAAAAACAAAAAAACAACCTATTTTTAAGAAATAGGCCCGATTTTGACCCAAGCATGCTTGAAGGGATTGGGGCTTGTAGGGGCCACTGTTGGGTGTAGTTTCCAGGAGCTACAGGGATTCTTCCACCCACCATGCAGGGCAGAGAGCCCCAATAATCCCAAAGACAAAAAAAAGCCTATTGTCAAGAAATAGGCCCGATTACTAGTTTGCACGTGCAGGAAGCCATGGCAGGCATTCAGGCCCCCCCCACCAAATGCAGACGAGGTGAGTGAAATTATTGAAATTAAACGAGGCGAGGTGAATAATTTCAAAACATGAAATTAAGACGAGGTACGAGGTGAACGAAATTAATGAAACTAATTTAATTCACTCAGATGACTGGATGGAGGCCAAAGCGAAGCTGACCTGGCAGACTCGCCAGCATTCACCCAAGGAACAACATGTGATCTGGGTTTGATGGATCTGAGGGATGGCGAAGATGGTGAAGACCACTGACTGTGTAGTCCATGATTGATTTGGATGGCCAGGTGGGGAAAGTCAAAGAAACCGTTGAAGCAAACCCACCAACTTTGACCATGCCCACCATGCCTCATTTTGTGATTCCGGGCAGTTGGTTTTGGGAAGGACCCACTCAGGCCCACTGTCATCATTTCCCCAGGTTCGCCCGGCATGCGCTGCAGGCTGCGGAACAGATTTGATTTGTTTGTGTGCACTATTGCTTTCGTCAAACATCTCCGAAAACGGTCCGTCAAACATTGAAAAGCCAGTTCTGCTTTGTTCCCAAGAAGATCCTGCGTCCATTTTCACCGTTGCCCCGCCAAATCCCCCCCCTCTCCACCTTTGCCCCGCGAGGCGCAGCTGACTCCGGAGGCCATCGACGAGCTGGTGCCCATCTTCGCTGAGCGATGCCACCAGCTCGAGGCGGCGTGGGCAGGGGTCAACAACCAAGACCCAGCTGTGGGCAAGAATCTCGTTGAACATCAGTGAAACATGTCCTGTCATGTCATGTCATGAAACATGTCTTTTTGGAGGGAAGACAAGATAAATCACCGTTCTCAGACCTCCACGGTCGAGTGGCTGAGCCTAAAGCTCACCAGAAGGCACCCGTCGTTTTTGCACAGCAATCGATCTATATCAATCTTAACGAATCCCCGTCTGAAGCAATGCAATTTGCCATACCCCTATACTCCTAGAAAGCTCAGAAAGTAGATGAACACCCATCAATTGGAGAGGTGTTCCTCATTTTGCGACCTAGGCCCTAGGCAAAGGGCTACAGCTGGGTCTTTTGACCAGGACAGGAAGGTCCTCTTTCCATAGACTTACAGAACCTGTCTGAGTTGAGTAGGTCAAAGACCCAGCTTACTCAGTTTGACAGCTAGTAGGTCCAAGAGCTTTTGCATGTTTTTGCGAGTCGTAGAGCGACCCATCTCTTCGAACATCTTGGAACGAGTCCAAACCACAATCTCGAGGCGGTGATCAGTGCCAATCCCGAGCAGATCGACATTTCTGAATCTTGGCCTCCGCTCGGGATATCGAAGGATATCGAAGGCGGCGAGGGGCGGGAATCGAAGGGTGGATGAAGCTTCCAGAGGTTTGTGAAGGATCCCTGACACTGTTTTGTTATTTATGTTCTTTTTGCAGATCTTTTTTACATATATATAGTATTATATAGTTATATATGATTATGTATTTTTTGTTTCGTTCCCACTCTTGAAACAGACTGCAATTTTTAGAAAGCATCGGAAATCCCAAGAACACCTCAAACTCCACGTCACAGGTTTGAATAGGTGAACCTTCCGCGGTATTCTCTATTGTAACTGGGGGGCCCTTTGGTCAGCCGGCCATTTGCTTTGGTTCAACCTTGGTTCAACCTACTGTACATGCCGATTTCTTCCTTCGACTGTATTGGTTTGTGATGTTCAATATGTGAATGTGAAGAATTTCAAGCGGAACCTCGACTATGACTAGGAATCAAACGGTTGAGATGAGACACTCCTCTTGACCCAAGGCTTGGGTAGAGAAGGTCACCATGGACACCATTTGCAATGCCACTCGACTGGTCACGAGTCACGGGTCACGAACCCGTCGGCTCACGAAACGGGCTTTGTAGCCAAGATTTGCGTTGACCATGGTTTGTCAGCCTGAGATCGTCGATGACATGTAGGGGTGAAGGAAGACCTCCTAGGCCTACAGGCCTAGCTTATCCTTGTAATTACGTGATTTGCATCTATCTCATTGCAACTAGGCAGTTGTCTAAGAACCACGACGATTCTATGATGGCAAGCTGTCAAGGTACATGACAAACATAGAGACGAAGCTTTACTTCCCATCTACGAGAATGGGATTGATGCCAAGTGCAGTCCATTCCTCCACCCATCTTCCATCGCAGGTGGGATTTGGCCATGACTTGAAATGCATGGAATCGGCAGAGCCTTTGTCGGCAGAGCTCCGGAAGACATGCGTGACAAATCTGGATGTCTGTATGTATTGATCGCTTCGGTTGGGGATCAGCACAGATGCAGATTCAATCCAAGCAGACAATTTCCGGTACCTGGAAGGTGGGACACCCGGTGTTTGTTCGTCTAATGAAGCTTTAATGCACGACCTACTTTCTGAAACTGGTAATTGCTTGGGTTTGAGGGACTGAGGGTATCCTGCTCCGTGATGCTCCAGAGAATTCTGCAAGACACTTGGGCGGCTGGAAGACTGGCTGTGTGGCTAGGTTCAGATTCCATGATTGTTTCAGGAGCCCTTTGTGAACATCGATTCTCAGATGTCAAAGGAGGTTGGCAAATCACGGGGCTTTCCTCTGGTGGGACAGGTTCATGGAAACGGCGAAAAGAAGATTTGGTGTAAAGCCCAAGCTCTTGCACTCTGGACCCATTATCACCTCTTTACAACCTCTGGGCCCAGACAATCGGGATCAACAGTGGACATTGTCAAACTGTCCGTTTGTCCCTGAGGAGATGCCTCCCCTTCTTCCACTCTTCGAAGAGGTCCTCGAAATCAGTACTTGGCCTGGAGTGGGTTGGCTTCGCACCGAAGACTCATCACATACAGCCCTGACAATTCAATACATAAAGGCTCCCCCAGTGGCTACCCCTCAGACTGAGACAAACAATCAAACAAATCGCAAAAAAGGCAAAATTGATTGATGCGTCAGAAGATGAAGACTTCATCTCTTTTCTGCAGGGTTGCAACCTGTGATTTGAGACAGGGACCGCTCACCTCGCCCGGGACGTCCGGGGGGACTTCCACAGCCGAGGTATCAACTCCAGCCTGTATGGTGCTTTTGCCAGCCGGCCGCAGACAAGAGCGAGGAAACTTTCCTTTTGGACGAGCGCTCCAGTATCCAAGAGGTTGACAGTGAAAACACGTCGAAAAACCTTGTTGACCTTGGCGCATAGAAGAAAGGGGCCTTTTGAAGCGGTTTCTGAGCATTTCGCTATTTTACTTTCGTCTTGATGGAAGAGTCCAAAGTAGAAAGTGAGATGGAAGCCCCGTGGGTCACACAAAGGTGTTGTGTTGTGACTTTTGTTGTGCAAAAGTGTAGGTATTCATGGAGACCATGAGATCATCCGGAACTGGCCTCATGATGGCGGCCTCATGGGCCGTCTTGAATCCGATTGGGGGACTGTTGGTATGCTAGGAGCAAAGGGCATCGCTACTAGGAACAAGGACGCTACTAGGGGCTCCTGGCCTTACTACTAGGAACAAAAACGCTACGAGGAGTCGCTACTAGGAACAAAAACGGTACTAGGAGCAAAGGGCATCGCTTCTAGGAACAAGGACGCTACTAGGAGCAAAGGGCATCGCTACTAGGAACAAGCACGCTACTAGGGGCTCCTGGCCTTACTACTAGGAACAAGAACGCTACTAGGAGCAAAGGGCATCGCTACTAGGAACAGGGACGCTACTAGGGGCTCCTGGCTTTACTACTAGGAACAAGGACGCTACTAGGAGCAAAGGGCACCGCTACGTTCCTATTTTGAAACAACCCAAGTTGGCCCTGACCACGCCCAGGATCTGCTTGGGACACGGAAGCGATGGTTCGAGGGGCCTCTTGGATCTGGCAGTGCCGTTGTGATGGGGTGCGAGGGGTTAAGAATCGCACCTGGCCTCATCACTGTGCAGCGGATGGCGATTCTCGTTTCTGGGATCAGCAAACGAGCAAGCACAAGCAAGTTGAGCTGCCGCCGCTGAACTTTCTGGAGGCCTATTGCTCTGATTTTGCTTTCCCTAAGTGCTGTGTAGTAGGACTGCTCGGACATTTCAAGCAATGCGAAATTGGTTTCTTGTGGCTCCCATGGAGTAACCTCTTGGGTGGTCTATTATTGAAGAGACACATATCCAACATGGGAAGATGTCCAATTGATAGGCCATTCTCTCCATATATTTGATGTCCAGCAACAAGGAGACCAACCTTGGGAACATGGGAACTGGCAAATCCAGCAATTGAGGATTACCATTCCAATGAAGGCGGGTGGATGTAGCTCCAACGAAGAGTCCGCCACAGTCCGATATACACTTCTTTCAAAGCTTCCATTTCACTCCAAAGACGCAGTGTCATGGGCCAGTGATCTAGGCCAGAATACTCGTGGGGATGATGGAGTTCTTGATCCTATGTCCACCGTGACTTCCCAAAGAATCTGAACCGAGGCCAATCCCAACAGGTTTACAATTCCACCAGGTGCGGCGTGGTGCGGTGGAAACGGTGCTTCGAGGGTGCCACAGCAAGGCAGCTGAGCAAGTTGGATGGCATGTTGGATGAGATCATTGAGGCGACCAGGCGAGGATTCCGAGTACGTCAACCACAGGGCGGGGGAGAAGAGGCCATGAAGGCCTTCATGCCTCCCAACAAGTCATGGAGAAACCATGCATTCCGCAGGTTCCTGCGATTCATCAGTCCTAGACCGGCACAGACTCTTTGCCACACACACACACACACTTCACTACATACGCAAGGATCACTACCTTCGGTTCTGATTCTCGGGAAGGATTCGCCAAACAAACTGGAGGTGCTCCTTGACAATCTTCAATGCAAGAGCTGAGACTTTGACTCAGCTTTGACGCAGGCATCGGATGTGCCCACTTGTTGACTTTTGCCTTATCAACATATGCAGAACACTGACGTCACAAATCAGATGATCAGGTTTCCAATTTCTGAAGGTTCCCTTAGAGTCCTCACCAAGCTCTGGCTGTTCATTGTGTGATGGGAGAGTCAAGCGGGCCGACCAGCAACATTTATATATCTAATAAATACCGAATACCCTTCATGATCCATAATCATAATATACAATAATCCTTCATCATCTTACTGATATTTAACAATGATGCAGATCAATGTCTTCGACCACGCATGACTGGGGATATTTTTTCTGTCTTTGTTTTCACGGAACGACCAGTCGCTCAACGGCCAGTTGTGGGTCGACGGCGCTTGCCACGTCGCTGTGATAAGTTGTGATCAGACCCCATGTGACTTGCTGAGCCGGAGGAAGGACAATAGCCCCTAGTAGCGTCCTTGCTCCTAGTAGTACGGCCAGGAGCCCCTAGTAGCTTCTTGTTCCTAGTAGCCCTGGAATGTTCTGGTCTTCAAGTTCGAAACTCTACATTACATAGACACGGGTAGTAAGATGTAGTATACTCTCTCCAGAACTTACGAGGAAGCGGTTCTCCTATCACCTTCTATGTTTAGCATTTTACTGGAGGGTCTGCATGTTATTATATGTTGGTGTTGGGTAAGACTTCTTCCTCGTAAGTTTGACACGGGGATGTACATGGTCACCAACTTCCTCGTAAACAGCGTCCTCACCGAGATTTACTTCCTGGTAAGTTCTGAGGAGTGTATATATACAGGTAGAAAATGTATCACAAGTTGACAGAGACGGAAGTGTATGGTACATGCACCCATCCCAAACACATGCATTGAGATAGCTGCTCAGCGCAACCGTCAGGGAAGGTCGAGGCTCTGGATCCGAGAACAGCCTGTTGCTTGGGATGGGTGGTCAGATCAGAGAATGGATGGGTAGAGGCTTCGGATCCAAGCAGAGACACATGGAGACACACCACAAGGCCCTAGGTCCAAGTACGGTGCTCTGCCACTTGGAACGCCAAGTTTGCTCAACATCCTTCGACTAGGCTGAAGACGCCATTCTTTTGTTGTCCTTCCTGTTTCCTGGGATCGGCGACACGGTTGTGAATGGATCGCTAGGCACCATCCAGCTGGACCATGAATGTAGCTGGCCATCTGGATAATCGATGATGATCCACTTCCATTCTTAGTAGATGCAAACATGAAACACATGTAGAATTCCTCTTGCAGATGGATAAGGTGGCACATCGAAACATCTACTGGGAACATGGGACAGGGACACCTGCCCGCAGCCTTGGGCGCAAGCTTCAGTAGATCCTTCCGCGATGTAGCTCAAACTCCATACAGTACATACCCTTTGCATCTTTTTGCCAAAGGTGTGGCAATCTCACTGAGGTGAACCCCAATTTCGGAAGATCCACCTTCAATCAGCGACCTGCCAGAAACTTCCTCCCAAGAAACAGAGGAGCCCGCACCTCCGCGATGCATCCGCGCTCGCCACCAAGGCTGTCTCATCTCATCAATGCCAAGTGTCCCCTGACGCAGCGGCACTTCACCCAGTCTGAGCTTCGAGATCAGCTGCTTACCATGCTCCTTGGGTGTATGCACACGTTTGCGTTCGGGAAAACGAGGGTGCGATGCGCTGAGTAAGTCGTTGGAAAGTTGATGGTCAATGATGGTCAATGCCAAAGCCCAGCCATCCACGTATTATAAGTAGAAACATCTAGAAACGCTTTCCAACGAACCGCCACCATTCACGTCCTTCATTCTCCTCGGAATGACCAGGTTGGTCGCTGGGCACAAGACGACAACGCTTCTCTTGACTTGGTCCTTGCATCGAGGAAGCAAGAGCTCTCATCAAGCGAGCAGGGCAGGCTGTGTGAGAATGTTTGGACTGCTTTGCTAGCCAGCGCTAGCTGCAATTAGCTTGAAGAAAGAAGGTCGAACTTGAGAGGAGAATCTAACGATGTTGATCAGAACTATCCTCCAGTCTGGGGCTTTGGAGGCGTGCCAACTTGACAAATGGCCGCCAGGTTCACTGTGAATCCCTCCAATAAATAGCCTTGAACCCAACCTGAGAGGATTGGAACTGGAGCCCCAAGTGTCCCATAAAACCCAGGAACTAAATGATTGGTGCGAGCGCTTCTTCAAGCTCCCCCCCCTCGGGCAGGGGGAGCTTTCTTGAAGAAGCCTGAGCTATCCTGCGTCCAGTAGCTAGGAGCGTACAAGTTTGCCGTTCATTGATACTTAATTTAAGTAGCATACTTCATCAAGGAGGCAGGGCCTCAGGCAAAAAACAGATTGGGGATTGACTTCCTTCACCCCGTCCACGTACTTCTTGGTCAGTGGTACCTGAGGAGTTGGATGGGTGTTGAGTCTTCTGCGTTTCAACATGTGGAGGGCCCAAGCTCATTTGGGGCACCGAGATCCATAGAACAATCATGAAGAATCTGAACAGCTCATTTGGATCAAAGACGTGGATCCTCTAAGTGTGGTTTTCGGAACTTCACAGCAACATGTGGCCGCATCCTTGAACTCGGCGAATTCGGCGGCCCATGTTTCAATGGGGGAACAGGCTAAAAGCATCCAAAAGCCACAATGCCAGGCACTGTCAAGGCAGGAAGGGCACTGCCAAGGTGCCTCTCCCAGTGGTTCTCCCTGGTTCCACCGAGGTATCACATCGCACGGAACCCGAAGATCGAGAAGTCTCTCGGCTGTTGGGCGGACTTCGTGGTGGAGGGATCTGTGCGTCTCACCGAGGCGGTTGGTAGAGCCTCAAGGTGCCCAACAGGAGACTCCAATAGAGGCTGCTAGCCAGCCCGTAGGCGGGATACGACAGATCAACCGATCAACTCATGTCCGGCATGTTGGATGTCCGGCAGACCTCGGTGAGTTCCTACCAAGACCTTGCCCCCGTGAACAACATGCCAAAGCAAACCTGTGAAAGATGAATGTCATCTACAAGCTTGGTATCTAAATTCACCCAAAATCAACACGACTCCCCAAGATTCCCCAAGGATTTCACCCTTATCCTTCAGCTATTGCAAATTGATTTTGGGCCCTGTGCTGCACTTGCCATTGCCATTGTGGGTTCCTCCGGTCACTCCTGTCCCTAGTGCATCTACTGCCGACTGATTGCATGGAGGGCTGCAGCTCCAGTGCTTCGGATACGGGAACAGACAAATCGGCGGACCTGTCATCCGGGTCCGTTTGTTTGTGGGTCCAAATGAAGACGCAAACCTCTTGTCCTGAGGAAGTGCTTTGCTGAGCTGCGGCAGGCCATGCCGGGCTGTATGTACTTGTTGGAAGTCCATGTGGCCGTGACGGGACTGGAGATCCTTCAACTTTCATGCAGCTTTGTTGGTGAACCAAGATTACTTAATTGATGATGCTGTTGCTGCTGGTGGTGGTGGGGGTGGTGGGGGCGACGATGATGCTGATGATGGACGGTGACGGGTGACGATGACACATTTCGATTCTTGATGCTTCCGAACTCTCAGAAGATCTCAGTGCCTCGGGCCAGGGAATCTACTCTTGCCATTGCCTTGCCTGTGGATTCCACTTTTGGTCATTGACGCTACGGGCTGAAGGCCGGACCGCCAAAAAGGCCTAAGGTCCACGCCATCAGTGACTCGATGACCTCAGGAAAAAAAGAACGAAAGAATGACGATGATGATGAGGATGGTGGTGATGGTGCTGGTGCTGGTGCTGCTGCTGCTGCTGATGATGATGATGATGATGATGACGATGATGATGATGAAGGACAAACAAAACGGATTGCCGTTTATTGTTTTGGGCAATAGGCCGGACTTGATGCATTGCAATCTCAGCAGTGTTTTGGCAATAGGCACTACATGGCTTTTTTGGGCCTAAGTCAGGGCTCCATCATAGTGAACATGATGCAGGTCACGGAGAATGAAGGCAGACAGCTCCTTAGGACATGGCCATGCCATTGCGCATCGGTCCTCCGCGCATTTGTCAGTCGAGTCCAGAGGCTGCAGCAAACCAACCTCGACGCAGTGTTGGTCCAGACTTGGGTGAAGTTCCACAATCTGATCCAGGACGAGAGGCAAGCCAGGGCTACGATTTTCCGTTCCTGCAATGGAACTAGGGCGACAGATGGAGATCAACCGGGACTACTCCCCACTCAGCTTTCCCCACTCTCACTCAGCTGACCACAACGCGGACCTTGCTGCAGTAACGCAGCCTGATCGTGCCCAGAAGGGAATGACAACAGTCAGAAGTCAGAATCCGGCAGTCGTTCTCAGGACTTAGCCTTTGAGCCGCATCGGCCCAGCCACTCTACAGCGGTCCGTCTTGTCCAGTCTACTGGACAAGATGTTCGGGAACGTGTGACTGGCTATGGTGGTGGAACGCCCGTAGAAGGTACTGTTTTTGTTCAACAATACTCAACAACTTTACTTTGGGCCAGTGAGCCTTGGCCTGCCCTGATGGGCTCATGGGATCGACCAATTCAGCGGGATGAAGTTGTGGATTTCTTCCTCCCATTGATGATCCCTCCTTCCACAGTGGTCTTTGGGAATCGCGCGTTAAAGCTGAAGGTCGAATCCACACCGTGGACTGTAGCTCCTGGTGCACATATTTGCGCGAGCGACCAGAAAATGGTGACATGGGCTGCAGGATCTGGTCTTGGTCCCTGGAATCCCTGCAGTGAAGTAGGCCCCGTCACGTTTCTGACTGGAACCGATGCTCACTAATCTGAAGCGTCTCGATGCTTGCCTAGCAGGCTGCCATCGATGTCCGGCTCCATTGTCGATCGGCCTGGTGTGTGTCAACATCTCACTTTCATTTGCTGTGACATGTGGCCGTCGAGTCTCCTGCAGCACTTGCCCATCCGGACTTATGCGAGCCATGAGTGAAGGCTTGATGTGTCAATTCATGCGACGTGCGAATGCTTCATCGGGGGGCTCAACAAGTAGAGCAAGCTCAGAATGCATCCCTGAACTCGCCTTGCAATTAGCCCAGTCCTTCAAAAGCTACCTTTTGAAGCAGCGGGCGTCGCGGGAAAAGCCGATCATGAGAATGACGAAGAAGAAGGAGAAGAAGGAGAAGAAGAAGAAGAAGAAAAATACTAAAAAGAACACATGATCGTGATGATGCCTTGTTCCACTTGGATGCCTACAGGAACACCTGGGAGATTGTGTCCCCCCGCTCCCACGACATTTTTCATTTGGGCTTGTGAAGAGTGAAGGCGGAAAGGCTTTCTGACTTCTCGTTTGTTTACGTCGAACGTTGCCGCCCGTTTTGGTCTTCAAGAGAACCCATCTTGTGGTGTGTTCAGTGTCTAACAGTCTAACGCGACTTCAACCGTTGCTGGTTGGTGTGCGTGGCTGAACTGGTGAAGATCCCTGCGATCGGCCATGTGCAGAGGTCTTCGAGAATGACATGAACAGAATGCCCACGGGCAACGACCTCAGGCGGGGCTGAACGTGTTTCCCCTTTCAGAGGTCAAATTCCTAAGGATAGATGAGGACAGGTTTATGCGAGGCTCCTGAAATTCTTCCCAGAAGATGCAAGGAACGAATAATCTATATACTTTTTCCTATTTATTTTTTCTGAGGCTCGTATGAAACACTTGAAGCAAGTGGCCGCTAAAATCGCCAAACTAGGAAGATCCACTGATTTCTCTAGACTTGTCTATGACATGCTGCTGCTGCTGGTGGTGGTGGTGGCGGTGCGCAAGACATGTTCGAACCCTGAAAAATAAAAGGACCGGAAAACCCCACATGTTAAGCTTGTAAGAACTATCACCGAGAAGTAGAGACTGATGAAAAAGAGGACGGATGAGTGGTGTGATGAGTGGTGTATGAAGAGTGGTGTGTGACGAGTGGTGTAAGATGAGTGGTGTGTGATGAGTGGTGTAAGACGAGTGGTGTGTGATGAGTGGTGTGTGATGAGTGGTGTGTGATGAGTGGTGCGTGATGAGTGGTGCGTGATGAGTGGTGTAAGATGAGTGGTGTGTGATGAGTGGTGTGTGATGAGTGGTGTGTGATGAGTGGTGTGAGATGCATGGTGTGTGATGAGAGGTGTGTGTTGAGTGGTGTATGATGAGTGGTGTGTGATGAGTGGTGTGTGGCGATTGGTGCGTGATGAGTGTTGTGTGATGAGTGGTGTGTGATGAGTGGTGGTGTGTACTGCCCCTGCCACGAAATCTACACAGGTTCACCAAGTGCTGTGCCTGCCACGAAATCTGCACTCCAGGTTCACAAACATGCTGTGCCTGCCACGAAATCTGCACGACAGGCAACCACGCGTCCACCCCGTCCTCCTGAAGGCTCTGTGCACTGCGCCTGCCACGAAATCTGCGCTCCAGGTTCACAAAGTGCTGTGCCTACCAGGAAATCTACACTCCAGGTTCACGAAGTGCTGCGCCTGCCACGAAATCTGCACGGCAGGCAGCCGTGGCCCAGCGGCGACCACGCGTCCTGTACTGCGCCTGCCACGAAATCTGCGCTCCAGGTTCGCAGAGTGCTGCGCCTGCCACAAAATCTGCACGACAGGCAGCCGCGGTCCACGGCAACCACGCGTCCATCCGGTCCTCGTGCAGACTCTGTGTACTGCGCCTGCCACGAAATCTGCACTCCACGTTCACAAAGTGCTGTGCCTGCCACGAAATCTGCGCGACAGGCAGCCGCGGCCCAGCGGCGACCAAGTCCTCCTGAAGGCTCTGTGTACTGCGTCTGCCACGAAATCTGCACTCCAGCTTCACCAAGGGCTGTGCCTACCACGAAATCTGCGCTTTAGGTTCACAAAGTGCTGTGCCTGCCACGAACTCTGTCCTCCTGAAGGCTCTGTGCACTGCACCTGGGTGGTGTAAGATAGGTGGTGTGTGTAAGATGAGTGGTGTAAGATGTGTGGTGTAAAATGAGTGGTGTAAGATGGGTGGTGTAAGATAGGTGGTGTGGGATGAGTGGTCGATGAGTGGTGTAATATGGGTAGTGTAAGATGAGTGGTGTAAGATGGGTGGTGTGAGATGAGTGGTGTAAGATGAGTGGTGTAAGATGGGTGGTGTGAGATGGGTGGTGTAAGATGGTAGTGTAAGATGAGTGGTGTAAGATGGGTGGAGTCAGATGAGTGGTGTAAGACGAGTGGTGTAAGATGGGTGGTGTAGGATAGGTGGTGTGAGATGATTGGTGTGAGATGAGTGGTCTGAGATGGGTGGTGTAAGATGAGTGGTGTAAGATGGGTAGTGT